ATACATATACATATACATATACATATACATATATCCTAGGTTCGACAGAGACTTGAAGCTGTGACAAACAAGGACTTACCAGATGGTTTCTGGTAGCATCCTGACTAATGCCATTCGACTCTTTTCAAATGTTTTGTGTATGCGACTACCTTTGTTGTGAGTCGAATAGTAGTATTTTACTAATCGCCAAAAGCTTCGAAGTGTGTAACAATTTTGAAATCTGGTTGTGGTATGTTCCGAAAGAGGGTCTAAAAAAGGAGACCAAATAAGTGAAATCTGTTCTGGGGACGTTGGAAGGTTGGATTCAGGTAATGGAATTAAGCTGGTCAGGACGGTTCAACGAGAGATGATAGAACCAGGCTTGGTGTCGGGAGATATTTTCAATCAACTGGCATGCTTGTTTTGCTAACTGAGTTGCCCTTTTGCGTTTTCATGAGCACCATTGTTCGAGATATTGTCTAGATGCATCCGCGCAAACTGTAGTGTAGACCAGAGGTGTTGGGTACATTCTTTGCTCGTGGACCTGTATTGTTTTTAGTTCACATTCCTAACTCCACACCTCCAATGGGCAGTGTTAGTTCGTAATTACGCAACCTCTTTGCCAACAGCACACCCTGAGTGACTTCGCTTTGAATAGATGAACACCGACCCATTGGTGTGGAGCTTAATTGGACGGTAACACTGAGGATATGGTAGGATCTTTGGTAAAGTCCTGATATGATTGAGGCGTTATGACGACGCTACTCATGAGTAGTGCAAATTTGAGATGATTGGCAGGTCGTCGACCGTGCAGTCCTTTTTGAAAGGCCGCTGAATGGAAGAAGGAATTTTAGCTGATTTTCACAGGATAGAAGTAAATGGAAAACAAAAATCATAACCGAGAATAAACTACGGAGACTATGAGTAAATATTATTATGCATTTTAAGGAGATCCTTTTGACCGAGAGGAATAGTGTGCGCTAAATGAATGGGTAAATCTACCTTGGAATTATGGACTAGGCGTGGGATTATTTCGTACATCATACCAATGAGTTGAATGGACACCAATTTATCAGGTAACACTTATACCGACTTTGCCCGAATACACAGACCGGACGCGTAATTCATCGCGCCCAATGGTGTAGTGAGACGGCCATTCGAATGGATACTTGCTTGAAAAATTTGTCCTTCATATTCTGCACAGGGAGTGCCTTCAGCGGATATTGTTTGATTATGAGAACAACACATGAAGCAATATATTTTTCCCAATAATGTGACCGGGTTGACATGACGATCCTGGAAAAGACTTGGGTGGATTTAGAACGACAAAAACCAGTTGTGATTATCCACTCGCCCTATAGCATTGCTGGTTTTGCAATGCACTCGCACAATCGCAGTTGAGAGGGTGATGTCAGCTCTTCGTTTCCCCACGTTTCTTTTACAGGTAAAAAACCTCATATTTGCTTGATTTCCAGCTGTTCCAGCTTAGTGAATCGTAAAATGAAATTAGCTGAGAAAAACACAGACAACTTCCAAGAATTTGTGCTACTTAATGCATTTATTATTATGTTTGATAAGATCTCGTAACATCTCTTAGACACTCTTAGTAATCTTAGTTACAAAATCGCCTCACTTCATGTTTATGATAACACATCTTCAAAGACTGGTTTTTTATACCGACAAAAAGCCACATACTCTGCCGTAACTAAAATACGCTTGGGCAGTTCTTACTGGTTTCGTCGATTCTTAATCTATAGTCTGGAATTGCTTCCAAGCCGTGGACCACGTTATTCAATTACCGAGCACACAGTTCTTACCGAATTCATCCACAGGGATTTTTTGTTACCATTGGTAACCACAAGGATAACTCAGTACTCACTCAAACTCAAGGCATAAGTCCAACAGGAAAACCTCCATCAATGGAATGGGTCTTGTGGCACAGAGATTTTTCTATCGAAATCTTTGCTAGAGGGAGGAGACTTTTAAAACCGAGGAGAAAACCTTCTGACTGAACAGACCACTCGTATGTTTACTGAAATCTCTCCGACAGTCCAGGACGATTTTGAATTAAATTTGTGTCCTAATTGATTATATTTTGACAGGAAGCAGCTGGTTCTTCAAATAGTTGGTTTGCTTCCAAGCAGAGACACCACAACGAACATATCAGTAACATTAACATAGTTTAGCCAACTGCTTTTGCTAAGGGTTCTCATCAGTCCAGATTTCACCAGCTTTTGAACAAAGTGTGAACTGACGTAGCAGATGAGTCAGTCTTAGATATGCACAGAGCAACATTACTAAGAATATTCCAAAGTTGGAACACTGAATGAAAGTAACACCCTGTAAGGTAGGACAAGGTCACTCGAAATTTTCCAATTTTCCCATAACCATCATCGTCGTTGTATAAGCACTCGGCTTTGTGAAGACTTTTGTGCGTGGTGGTTCATGTTATGGTTCAGTCAGATAAGATTATCTCTGGTATTTTATCAGCTAGAGGATCTAGGCCAACTACTGACAAGTAATAAGTAGACTTCTTGTGTTCCGCTTATGTGTGAGTTGCTCATAGGCAGGCGCATTGAGCAGCTGGAGCACTCATTTAGGAAGATATGAAAATTCCATCCGATACTCAGTTAAGCTGATGAAAGGCAAGCGGATACAAGGTAAATCTCTTTATCACATTCGACAAAGCATGTGATGCTCCCAACCTTTCTCTCATCAGGAAACACCTTCCCACAGAATACGGTTTAGCGTCTCCTGAAGATTCTTTCTTCAAAGAAGCAACATTGTAATTTGGTTACCTAGAATTAAGAACTGAAATGGGGCGTTCGCTTATTGCTTCGTACCTAGAGCATGATTTAGATGTGACACTTCTTTGGTTCGCAGCTTCCATACAACCCGATAGAAGGTGCTGCTAGGTTTCCCAAGCATATAAATGAGAAGTTAGAAGTTACTTCTAGGTTCACACCACGGATTCCGTGACCCGAAGCTTTCGTCTTGACCATCATGCTTTCTTGAACCCAGCTACTCGGGAAGTTTAGGTACTGATGATTACCCTCTAAAAATTGACATGTCAAAACTCACTTTGGTACTATACGTTTCACAATACTTTATTTTGTCAATATGGGCAGAATGTTGCTTATAATGTCGCTGGGCTTTTCAGGGTCTCTTTATTTGCCAGGGTAACAGGTGTTTCAACTCCTCTCATAGTAATATTCTCTTGCTTATACATACTGCGCATGTGTGATGTTCATACTATGCAACCGTTTCTTAGCTTTGCACAAGAATACTTGTGTGTGACCAGTCGGTTTCCTCTCGACCAAATATCCAGGCTGTCCT